CTTTAATTATGGGATGCGGGATTTACACTAAAATGTAATTAAGATTGATTAATGGCTCTTTTTTTTCTTTTTTAACTGTAGTATGTGTGAATAACATGATATAGTTTTTATATTTTTATTTTTTTATTTATAGTTAGAATGTTTGTAAACTCGTTTTCCTATATTTTGAAATTAATTTTTTCTATGACGATCTTACATTACAACCCTTTATTTTATATTGATGTATTTAAGAAAATTAATTTTTTTAAATATTGATTCTAAAAATTAAATTTTAAATTTGTCTTAAATATTGATTCTAAAAATTAAATTTTAAATTTGTCTTACAAAATAAAATTTGATTACTAATAGATTCAATCCTTAAGTTAATAACACAATAGTTTTACTCTATTGCACCCAATAATTAGATTTATATATATCTTTGTGATTACAAAAAAATCATTATGTTTATAGATATATACTAGATCGTAAAAAATTTGTTTGTAAAGCATTGACTAAGAAAAGGACGTGATTTTGAACTTACTGATATGTTACCCCTAGGACTTGCTACCTGGAACAACTCTACCGGCTAAAGCATTTTCCGCGGACAGAAAATTTCAGAATAAAATAGAACAATAAAAGTATCTAATATCAAATAACAGAATAACTTGAGAAAGTTTCCATTATTCATTGGAAAAAAAGAAAAAGCAGCAGTAGACCATAATAGTTTTGAACCATAAGCAGAAAGGAAAGTAAAAAGAAACAGGAAAAGTCACTGAATTGTGGTTCAGCTTGAGGATGGAACAGAGGCTTATTATTTTATGACACAGGTGGAAATGAAAGCATGGTGCAAATTTTAGGTGATGATGGGGCAGAGTTTGCTCGTTGGGGCAAGGGTCTTAGCGTTAGAGACTGGTGGCAGGAGGGAAGCGGGGCCATTCCTAGTAGTTCGGCACTTCAAGTCGGCCAACCAATAAACCATGGACTTCAAATTGATAATTTAAACCCATCACATGGATAATCACAAGGAACCCACACACTTATAAGGCGAACTCTTATCCGTATATAGCCCAAAAGCTATCCAAATTCTATTTAAGACTGACCATAGTCCATCCACTAACTGCTTCCTCCATGTGGCCGAAACTTGATTGTGCTTGAACTTATCCCATGGTGCTTCATGCAACTTATCAACACCTTTTGCCTCGTTGCCCATTCATCTGCTCACAATATGGCAAAATGACAGCCAGCCAACTGCTATCATGGACACGGAGCACCATCAGGCTTGTGCTAATAAAGAAGACAACAAGCTCAATGACATGCAGACAACTTATTTATACAGTAGTCACTCTTTGTGGGTTCTGGTAAGAGGAACTTGAGCCAGGCAACACCTCCATTGATAGTGCATCACGATACCACTGAAAAAGTGAGTGAAATCCATTGTTCAAAAAGAATGCTCTAGCTCTAAAGATAGTCTAAATGACTGGGACAGAACAAACCTTCCACAATTGCACCACTAGTGCCTAATAACCTTCTAAGAGTGATAAATGACAAAGTGAATCAGTTGTTGCAGCCGATGTGCCACTCAGTGACAAGGTGTGTTTTTCACTCTTTTCTTTCTAGTGTGATCCTTCAAAATGGTCAAAAGTGAAGCTGTAATGAAATCAATAAGACATTCAAATAAGATTTCAGAGGACTAAAAGGAGAATGCTAATTTGATATGCTAAATGACATAAAATTCAAAATACAACAGCTACCATAACAATAAACTAATGCACAAACAACACACGAACAGAAGCAAATAAGACCTGCCTAAATTACCTTCTCCATTTCTATTACACTTTAACCATAGCTCCATAACAATAAGGACCTCTAACAGTTAATACAGGTGCATATTTGTAAAACATCGATGGGTGCATATAACAAAATGAGAAAGAAAAAGCAGGAAATTAGGACACTATAACAAGAAATGGAGCAGGCTGAAAAATGAGAAACGCCACAAATATAACTTATATAGACTTACAGTAAATTGGGGTTGTTAAAAAATGTCATTATGATGTTAGTGAAGCACACAAACAAACAAAGATAAACTGTATGAACTTAATCTTCTGACATTGTTTTCTTAATGAAACAATTTAGATTCTTGATAAAAAAGTAATACCTTTCAGCTTTCAAGAGTCCTCAAGTCTTAGACTCTTAGTTGCAAGATAGAAGCATAAATTCTTGCTGTGATCTATTATGAAATGAGCTGCATATTATATTATCACAAAACACAAAAGATCACAGCATTATCTCCTATGGTGACCACACAAACTGGCCAACAATGAAAGCAGTTGAATTTAAATACCAGAATAAATTCAGAAAGTTTCCATTATTCATTGGCCAAGAGAAAGTAGAATAACTAAAATGAAACAGGGAAATAACACTTTTATATTATTAAATTATGTTTTTTTGGAAATCATCTAGCCGAAAATTAGTCGAAACTTTAGACTATTTGGAGCACTTCTATAGAATCCATCTGCAAGCGGCAGGATAATTATATAAGGAATCACCTTGAGTTCCACTAATGGAGGAGGATTATGTCAATGATTGCTGCAAAAACACACAATAACTAAAAGCACAAGAACTAGCAACAGTAATCTAATAAAAGCACTCAGTGGGTAAACTAGTGGTGTCCCATTCCATACTAAAACTCCCTGTCAATAAATCTTGTGGGTGTCAGATTTTCATATGTTATTTAAAAGAAAATTCATTTGAATCTATAGACTTCTTTCTCCAACCTAAACTTATCTTAAAGATTTATGGTATACCTAAAGAATTTCTTTACGAGGCAACAGTCATTCTTTGTTGGTTCAAAGAGGAACTACACCCAGACAACCTCTATTGATTAGCATCCCTAAGAACAAGCAGCTTGAGTCATTCTATACTTAAAAGAGCGCTCCATTTTTTAAAGATATTCGAAATGATTCGGACTGAACAAACCTTTTGCAGTAGCACCAAAACGTGTCCAAGTGTCTAAGAGCAACAATATATAGCAAAGTGAACTAGTTATGGCAGACAATGTACCACTCTGTGACAAGGTGAATTTTCCCCATTTCTGTAGTGATCCACCAAAAATATCAAAGGAGACACTGTGATGAAATCAATAAAAGATTAAAGAGGCTTTCAAAAAGAACAAAAAAGAATTAAGACAACTAAAAGAAGAGTTCCAATCCAATAAAGGCTAAATGGCAAGTAAAATTTAAAAAGCAATAGCATCCAAGATAAATAGATAGAGACACAATATCACAATAACCTTGGACGCCTAAATATAACAGAAACACATAAGACCTGCATTAACTACTTTCCCAATTTCCATTACACTTTAATTAACTGAATCTCATAACAATAAAAAATCTTTATTAGTTAATCCAGGCCCAAAGTAATATAAAGTTTTGATGAGTGCACAGAGCAAAATGAGAAAGAAAAAGCAAGAAACTCGATCTAGGACATAATACAACGCAGCTAGCAAAAAAATTAGAAATGGCGCAAATAAAACTTATAGTAAATTGAGGTTGCTAAACAAATTCAAGTGCTTGACTTTAATAAAACAGATTGTTAAATAGAACTTACAATAAATTCAGGTTGTTACACAATTTTCTTAATGGAACAGTTTACATTCTTCATAAATGAATTGCCTTCCCTTGACTGCAAAATAAGTACCTGAATATCAGAGCCATCAAAACAAGTAATTACTTCAGCCACGACAACAAAATTATCCATTGATGAGTTCATAGAAAGAACTACAAATTTAACTCCAATTCATCTCGACAAAATAAAATCAAATTGAATGATCTCTACTCTGTGGTATGACCTACACTGACTAGCCATGAATACAGTGTATACATCTTAGAATTTAAATAAAATTTTACAACTTAGACCTGAAACTTCCATATGTTAATGCTAACCTACATATGTTGTTTTTAAGAGACAAAGACATCTTATCTCAACCCTGGCATATGCAGCATAAAAATATCTAAAATTTTTGAGTTTAAGTGGTAAAGGCAAAACACATTAATTTAATCCACATAGAAAATTATAGCTTTCCCCCCTAAGACAAAAGTTAATATCTCAACAAAACAAAAGGAAAACACCAAAAGAAAATTACCTACCTAAGTATCAGATCACCAGTCAAAGAATAAGACTTGAGTTGGCAATGGTAAATGGTTGGGCCTTTGGAGAGCAAAGGAGGTTGGGATCGTCCCTCACCCAGCCCTCTTAAGTAATAATCCTCCCTGAAATCGCTTAGCTGTCATTCAAGATTTGTCATATGCGTCTTTGCTTCCACACCAATCGGAGAAATATGGTGAAAGGAAACATTTGGGGGTCCAAAAATTAAAGAATTTTTACATTTTACTTCAATAAAATGCACAGTTCAAGGACAACCAAAACAAAGGAAGAGAGAAGAAAATACGAAGAGATTACATCAGAAGAAACTAATTACACTAGGAAAAATACATGAGCAACTGCTTGTGGAGTAGATAAATGAAATCCAACAGAAATCAACACAAATTCATACATAACCATAATTCACACACAAGTCAACACAACTATATATCAACAATGAACATGAAAAAGATCGAAACAGACTCAAGAAGCAACTGTTGCCAGATCTCCCAGAAGTAGGAAATCAACTGCACCTGCTTGCACCTATGTAAAATAAAGCAAAAGTAGAAAAATTAAGTTTCACTATTATATAATATGCCTTGATTTTTATGGTTAAAACTTGGATGAGAACACAAATATTATAGAGTTGTAGAAACTTACCACTTAAGAGCGTTGGTTGGCTTTTTGGGTTTTTCTCTGCTTATGAGTTCGGTTGCACCTTTCAACTAATTTCTGTTGATATTTCTCCACCTTCTTCACTACCCACCATGGTTTTCCTGTAGTGAAAGCAATGTATCCCAGACTAAGTCCCAACACTAGTCCGCACCCATAGCCTGCCAATGCAAACTTCCACTCAAAGACTGTTGTAGAGTCATCTTCTTCATCAAATTGTGATGAAGGTGGTCTTGGTTCTTCACATTTCTTTGTCAATGGGAATCCACACAACCTAGAGTTCCCAATATAGGAATCATTTGAGAAAGTATTGAACTGCTTCCCTTCAGGTATGTGGCCCACAAGTTCATTGTGTGAAAGATTCAAAACTGATAGGAATGTCAGCTTCGTCAATTGCTCTGGAATCTTGCCTTCAAGCTTGTTTGATGAGAGATCTAAGGACTCAAGTTCTGCTAATTTCCCCAATGATGACGGGATTTGACCATCGAGACTATTGTGAGATAAGTTTAGCAATAAAAGTGAATTGAGTTCTCCTAGCTCGTCAGGAATCAGTCCATGAAATTGATTGCACGAGAAATCTATAGTTGTGAAAATTTTCAAGATCCTTACAAGCTCCACCTCAAACCCTTTCATTACTACCTTCACAGAATCCATATAATAAGCAGAACCAAAGTATTCCAATTTGACTTTATTAGCTGGAACTACTTCTCTCATACCTTTCAAAATTTTGAAATAATTACTCGGTAGGAGACCCATAAAATCATTCTGTGCGACATCAATGATTCTTAACTGAAGGAAGTAAAATGAAGGCATAGAATTGTTGATGGCACCATGAAATCGATTAGATCGAAGGATGAGAACTTTGAGCAATGGAAGAACACCTAACCAATGTGGAAAGGTATCATTCAATTTGTTGTTCCCCACATCTAGAATTTCCAACTTACTGCAATCAACCAAAGACCGTGGCAGTATCCCTTCCAACTGGTTGCCATTTAGGTTGAGAGTTGACAATAAACTGTTGTTGACAAGTAAATTTGGAATCCTACCATGGAACTTATTCATCCGCAAATCCAAGATGTTGAGGTAACTTAAGTTTCCAAGACATTCTGGAATTTTTCCTCCCAACCTATTATTAGCTAAGACTAGATCTATAAGAGAAGTAAAATTACAATAAGAAGAAGGGATTTCACCAGTCAAATTATTCCTTGAAATGAAGAGTCGTTGCATAGAATCCCAAGTTGTTGATAGAATGGGAAGTGATCCTTGTAGTAAGTTGGATCTGAGGTCAACGATTTCAAGATTTCCAAAACCAAATGAATCTATACCAGTCAAGAAGTTATAAGAAAGGTCTAATCTATCCAATGACATCCCTTCTATTTCCCATTTATGAATTTGACCAGAAATCTTGTTCTTGGAAATATCCAATTCTTGCAATTTCTTTGCCTTCCTTAAGAAACTTGGGAACTTGTGTATGTTGCAAGAAGAGAATTTTAAAGACCGGAGGCTCGGAAGAAAGGAATAGTTGACAGCAGTGCCATTATTGCTCAAAGACAGCAAACTATTGTTGGAAAGATCAAGATCCTCAAGGTCTACAAGCTTCGAAAGCATGTCGGGTGTAATGGTGCCAGTTAAGTTATTTGAAGAAAGGTCGACTATAGTAAGATGCACAAGATCAAAGAAGGAGCTAGGAATTGAACCACTTATCTCATTATTGGACAAACAAACTATTTGTAAATTGAGATTGGGAATCGCAATATGATCAATAGGTCCAGTAAGGCAGTTGTTTTGGAGGTCTAAATAGGATAAAGAAGGCAGAGAAAACAACCAAGATGGTACACAACCTAATAGCTTATTTGATGATAGTGACAAAAAAGTAAGATGGGTGAGGTTGAAGATTGATGCAGGAATTTCACCACCTAAATTGTTTGCATCTAACCTCAAATAAGTTAGCTTGTGTATTTTTCCAAAAACATCTGGTATTTGCCCTTGCAAATGGTTGGCCAAAAAATCTAGTTGAGTTATCTTTGTAAGATTTGCAAGAGATCTAGGAATTGACCCATAAAATTGGCAGTAATGGAGATCCAATTCCTTTAGGAGTTTAAGATTTCCAATTGAATGAGGCAACTCCCCTGAGAAACTTGTGTTTGCAAGATTCAAATACTCAAGGGTACTACTCTGGTTTGACTCTGGCAAATTACCTCCTAAATCAAAGTTGTAGCTTAAATCAAGAAGTTGGAGAGATGGAAGCTGAAAAACTTGGTTTGGAAAGTTTCCTTGCAAATTACAATCGTGAAGGTTCAAATATTCTAAGGAGGAAGTCAAGTTTAGCAAGGAAGAAGGCACAACCAGAGACATATTCACAGAATCAAGGCTAAGAAACCTTAATTCTGTTAAGTTATGCACAAGCATTTGAAACTTTATGTTGTCAAGAAGCAAACCATAATTATCAGAGAGATCAAGTGAAACCAATTTCGGTAGCTGAAAAACTTGGTTTGGAAAGTTTCCTTGCAAATTACAATTGTGAAGGCTCAAATGCTCCAAGGAAGAAGTCAAGTTTAGCAAGGAAGAAGGCAGAACGACAACCATATTCACAGAATCAAGGATAAGAAACCTTAATTCTGCTAAGATATGCACAAGCATTTGAAACTTTATGTCGTCAAGAAGCAAACCATCATTATTAGAAAGATCGAGTGAAACCAATTTTGGTGGCAAGAAGATCTCATCAAACAGGAGAGAGATGAATCTTGAATCTGCAAGGTTAAAGATTTGTCACATTAGAAGAAGTGAAACCAGTTTTGGAAGCATGAAGATTTTAAACAAAAGAAAAAGAAATGAAATCTCATACCTGAAAGATTAAGATATGTCAAACTCTTCCAACGGTCGAACCCAAAAGAGAGATTGGGGTAGCTAAAATCGTTGTAAGCAAGGTTGAGGCTCTGCAATTTCTCAAGGCGAAAGAGACTACTATTTGTGGTTAGATCGGCATAAAGACAATTACTGCTAAGATCAAGGCCAATCACATGACCATTCCGCTTGTCGCATGTGACGCCTTCCCACGAGCAGCAGTCTGTACTCTTGTTCCAAGTTTGTATTATACGACGAGGAGTACAAAAAAAGTCATCCATCATATCCGTAGTGCTTTTGAAATCAAGCAATGCAGAATGCTCTTCAGGACGGCACACATGTGGTGATGAATCTGGAGAAGATTGAGACGGTGAGGAGCTTTGGACTTGAAACGGTAACAACATGAAGGAAAGGCAGAGGATTTGGGAAAATCTTGTTAAACTTGCCATTTTCTTAAAGATGAACACGAGTTGGTAAACAAAGGAGTGATGGATTATTCAAAATTGTAGGGCTAGACACAAGAATTTATGGCCTTCCCAAAACTGAAAGTCCTTCAGCTTTTTTTCAAATTACGTGTAGACTTCTCTAGTACGGTCAAATTTTTTCTTTATCATTTTATAAAAAAATTAGTGTTCACACAATTAAACTTACTTCCATAATTTAATAAAAGGTAAAATGGTTTGCAGTTGGTTGTGTTAATTTTTAAGTGGAATGAATTATTGAACGACACCGTTATAACCACATGAGAAAAAGCAAAAAAGGAAAGGCCCAAGGTTGCTCATAAGATTATCTTTTATTGGCAAATGACCCAACAAAAAGTGCCCACGAAGAAAACTTACCTCTGACGGGGTGAACCTATTCCACGACATTTTGTTTTTTGGTCGTTCTTCCTCTATGATTCCAAGCGGAGATCTGGAAAGGGAATTGAAAAATAGTGGAATCGAGTTAGGGAAATCAAAGATAGAATAGAGGGGTTCTGAATGAAGAGAAAAAGAGGGAAATTGAAGAATAAAAGGTGATGTGGTTATTGAAGGTGAAGAATTCAGAGAAGGAATTCATATTTAGGGGTTTGTGAATTTTCGGAAACAGGGGAAGGTTGAATGGCGAGGAAGGCAACCTCGGGGTTGGGGACAAGGGCTATGCTTGAAACGGCGTCGTTTCAATAATTCATTCCGTCCAAAAGTTGCCACTACCGGCTGCAAACCATTTTACCGATTAATTAAAACTGTTTTTGATATTTCACATATTGAAACTTTTTTTTATTATTGTTAGTACACATAATTTTTTTGAGAGGAGTTAGTACACATAATTAGCTTGAAGTGAGGAGTATAGATCAATATGATACGTGTTAGAGTGCCAAGGCTTCAAAGCTATTCGATAACTTTTGCATAACATGACTCTTCAACTTGTTATTATTCTTCGTTTTAGAATGCATGGCATGACTCTCTTGCGTGTATTAAATGAAAACAAAGATAATATAATTATAATATTATGTGGCATTATAAACTTATCTTATAATATATTATTATGTAATTAGTTTTTTATATAAAAATTTAATAATAATATTATATATATTTACTTATTTAATGTAATTACTTATTTAATATTACATTATAATTGTAAATTTATAATTATATATGATATTATAAATATAGTATTATCAAAATAAAAATACTAACAAAAATTCGGTTTAGAAACATAAATCAATGTAAAAGTTGGAATGTTCCATTTTCTCGTAATAGTATAAAAAAAATCCATCTAATTTGTAGAAGGAGAAGACATACAAAATTTCAAACATTTCTTCTATATTTGCTTAATTTTTATGACATAATATATCCTCAGATATTACCTAAAAATATAACAATCAATAGTGGATCAAAATGCCTCATAATTCATGAAACAATGTCTAAAGTAATACTAATATGAAAAAAAAAATGCTTTCAAACTGAGAATATTAGATATATGGAAACTAACGTTTTTGTATGAATTGAACTTATATATGTAAATTAACATTCTTAAGTTACAAAGTGAACACGGCACCAATTCAATGCCCCGTCCACCAAGTCTCAATATTTCTCATTAGCCATTCAACAAAGTAGCTGATGCTCTGATTCCAAAGATAGGAAAAAAACCAAAGTAGCTTTAGCCTTACAATGATTTTAATTTCTAGTTAGGTACGAACAGACGATCTCATGTGAGGAAAAAAACATTGGTTATTGTTGTGGAAATGAGTAGATGCTTTCATTAGAAAGTCCAAGGAAGGGGAGTGATTTTAGGAAAAAAATGCATGAACCTTGGAGTACGTTAAGGAAAAAGGAATTGGAGAATCTTGAGGACAAGGAGAAATAATATATATTTTTTTTAACATGATAAGCTTATAATAAAATTTTTTTAATTTGTACTTTAAAAAATCTTTAAAAAATAAAAAATAATAAATAATTTATTAATTATTTAATTAAATTTATTCATATGATGATAATACTAAGATTAGTGTCAGTTTTTATATTTTTTTATGTGAATTTATGATAAAAAAATGACAAATGATATATTTTTCTAAACCAAAGTAGCTTTAGCTACAAAGGAAACACAGCACCAATTCAACGTCCCATCTACCAAGTCTCAATATTTTTCATTAACCAATTAACAACGTGGTTGATACTCTGATTCCAACAATAGGAAAAAGCCAAAGTAGCTTTAGCATTACAATAATTTGAATTTCTACCTAGGTACAACCAGACGATCTCATGTGGGGGAAAAAACATTGGTTATTGTAGTGGAAACGAGTAAATGCTTTCATTAGAAAGTTCAAGGAAGGAGAGTGAGTTTAGGAAAAAAATGCATGAACCTCGGAATACGTTGAAGAAAAAGGAATTGAAGAATCTTGAGGACAAGGAGAAATAATATATATATTTTTTAACATAATAAGCATACAATAAAATTTTTTTTTTATTTTTATATAAATTTTTTTTAACTTGCACCTTAAAAGTTTTGAAAGAATAAAAAATAATATTTAATTTATTAATTATTTAATTAAATTTATTTATGTAACAATAACATTAAAATGTCAATTTTTATATTTTTTTATATAAATCTATGATAAAAAAATTGCTTAACATATGCCCTAAACACACAAAGTAGAAAATTTTTTTTCACATAATAACCTACACGATAAAAAATAATTATCTATATGCTTCTCATACCTTTTTCTCTTTCTTTTTTAAATTCAAACTTGATAGTTTTAACATGTAAATTTAATCAAGTTTCTAACTAATGTGACATCCTATAACATTACGATATATTCTTCAGGTGGTTTTTTTTTTTTTTTTTTCTTTGGGTGATTTTGTTAGTGTGATTCTTTGTCCATTTTTTTATTAGGAATATTTAAAGTCCCCTCTTTTGAGCTCTTTCTAGGATTTTTCTAGTTATAATAATTGCATCTACTTCTCATGGATTAATTGGCAAAAAATAGCGGTGATAACTTGATAATACAAAACGAATAGCAATTATAAAGATGTAAAAGAAAAATACTTCTTATATATTGCGCAAAAATGAACCTTTGTGCGCCTATGTTCATCCAAGGAGGTATTAACTCCATATATTAATACCATGCTCCCTGCTAAGTGGCTACTTCTTTAGTCCGCTTATTACCTTGATTGTGCTTGAAATGACATCCATGGATTCTGAAGAATGTAGATGATATTAGATTTTGCATCTAAGGCTACTCATAGTAAAATATTAAAAAAACACAACCACAACACTTCACAATATTCTCAAACACAGCCAAAATCATAGATATTCTATTTTCCAAACATTAACAGTGACATTAAAGTGTGTAAAGTAAAAATTGTAAGACGCATTAGATATAGGGTAAGAACTTCCAAGAACAAGCAGCACACTTTCTTTCAATTTGCTTTTCCTCTCGTAAAATTTGTCTGTAAAGCATTGACTAAGAAAAGTAAGTGATTTTGAAGACTTGATACCTGGAACAACTCTACCCGCTAAAACATTCTCCGGGGACATAAAATTTCAGAATAAATTAGAACAATAAAATTAATATCAATCTGCGGACTTATCCTGTCTCCTATCTAAACATATCTGAAAGATTTATGCATACCTCAAGAATTCCTTTCCAAGATGCATCCGTGCATAACTAGCTAGATAGAGGCAATGGTCACTCTGTTGGTTAATGGTAAGAGGAACATGACATGGGCAATCTCTACTGACTAACATCTCCATGAACAAGCAGTTTGCATCACTATATTCCGGAAACAGTAAGCAAAATCCATTGTTCAGAAAAGAGTGCTCCAGCTTTTAAAAATATATTCAAAATTAATGAGACTAAATAAACCTTTCACAGTTGCAACACAAGAAGTGACTTGAGTGTCTAAGAGCAATTTACAACCAAGTGTATCAGTTGTTGCAGCCAACAACTCCATCCAAAGAGAAAAAGAAAACGTACCACTCAGGGATAACTGGATAAGGTGAGTTTTTCACCCTTTCCAGGGTGATCCTTCAAACATGTCAAAGGTGAAGCTGCAATGACATCAGTGACATTCAAGAGGCTTTAGAAATAAATAAATGTAAGGGTTCAGAAGAGTAGAAGGAGAATCACTAATCTGATATGCTAATGGCATATAAAATTCAAAATGCAACAGCAGCCATAACAAATACAAAACAGCGCCAAATAGGAACTTGGATGCAGGAATACAACAGAAATACATAAGACTTGCCTAAGCTACTTTCCCTATCTCTGTTACACTTTAACCATATCTCATAACAATAAGGACTCTCTATTAGTTAATACAAGCCCATAATTACAAAAGCATTGGTGAGTACACATAACAAAATCTGAAAGAAAAAGCAGGAAACAGTAACAGGAAATGTAGCTAGTTGAAAAATGAGAGAAACACCACAAATAGAACTTAACAGTAAATTGAAGTTGTTAAACAAAGTGATTATGATGTTACTGAAGTACAAAGAGAAACAAGATCAGAGCTACATAATCTTAACATCTTCTACCATCATCTCAGTTTTCTTAATGAAACGATTTAGATTCTTTGATAAATGAATTACCTTTCAACTTCCAACAATCTGTAATTATGCGATAATAGGCTTAACATTGTAATAGAACCAATTAGGAAAGAAATCAAATGCAAAATTGTTGAGGCTATTCTCCTGACTTTCGTTGGTAGTTGGTCCACTCTGCCATATCATGTAATAGTTGACAAGAAGGAATGGTTGAAAACACTGCAGGCTGCGGTATAACTCTTAACAAAAAGGCTCCCACTAAGGACCTGCTTCTATCTATTGAAAGTCTAACAGGATGAGATAAATTTAGTCAAGGAGATAACAAAATAAAGACAAAGATAATAGGCACACCTACAAAAGCATCAATTCTTGCTGTGATTTATTATGAAATTAAGTTGCAAATTATATTATTGCAAAACACAACAAATTAACTTACTGATCTGAAAGCTAAGATTACAACAACATCTCCTATATTGGCTGCACAGCAGTAAGTTTGACTTGACTGTCCAACAATAAAAGCAGCTGAATTCAAATACCAGAATAACTTCACAAAGTTTCTATTATTCAATGGAAAAAGAACAAGCAGCATAACTAAAAACAAACCACAGAAACAATTCTTTTAAATGCTTAGACTATTGATCTTTAGACTTTGTTTATCTTAGCAGCAGATCTCAGAAATAAGAAATGATTCATGAAGATAATACTAAAATAATGACAAAATGTAAAGACATTTATATTTTAGGATGCCTCTCTTTGTTCAACAGACTCTAAGTTTAGGATGCCTGCAGGATATACCATTGTCATCTGTAAGCAAAAATATCTAGTTGAGTAGTTAAGCAAAAATCATCAATATTTTAAACACTTCTAGGTTAACATCTCAAGAAAATTAAAAAAATAAATAAATAATAATCTTTTCACTTTTACCTGTGTATTAAAATTTGGTGTCGGATCTTGAAGTCAGGTCGGATCAGGCCAGCCAACAAAGAATAAACCAACAGATAAACTTTGGATGTACTGACTGTAAGAATACATATAGTTTCTATGCTTAAACTATTTTGGAAATCATGTACCCAACAATTACTCAAAACCTTTTAGACCATTTGAAGAACTTCTATAGAATCCATTTGCAAGTGGCAGGGTAATTATATTAGGAATCACCTGGAGCTCTGCTAATGGAGGAGTCATTATGCCAGTGATAGCAGCATCAACACACAAACCATGCATTTTAACATCCATAACTGATATGGCAATCTCCAATAAGAATTTTCCAGGTCCTCTGAGCCTTTCCTCTTGGGTGTCTGGTCCCAAAACTGAGAATTTGTTCCTTATAACCATCACTGAAATCTGAAGTATACTCTACAACACCAGAGCCAAAGAGATGGACTATTTGATTGATGTGACTTTCTTTATCTTAGCTTTTATCCAGAAAAAAGAAATGATCCATGAAGATCACACTATAATAATAACAGTATGTAAAGATATTTGTCATGATTCAACAACAACTCTTAGGCTCTAGAAGCAAATAAAACGAGCACTTACACCAGCCATAACAACAAAAGCCTCGTCTGAAGATGTGTCTTGGGTCATATATCTATTTAACAAACTCTTAATTTTAGGATGCCTGCAGGATACTCCTTATATATATCTGTAAGCAAAAGTATCCATTGATGAGTTTACCACTAGAATAACAACTTCAACTCTAATTTATCTAAGGAAAAAAAAAACAGATGAAACTGACTGATGTCTACATGGTATGATTGACCATCCATACAGTACAAGCAAACAGAATTTAAATAAAAGTTCACGAATAAGAAATTTATGATCCACTATTACCTTCCTTCAATATACCCAACTCAGAACTTATATATGTTAATGCCACAGCTAAATTCTTGATATCTTTGAACAAAATCCCAACAGAAATTTACTCTTAATTTCTTGTTTATTGTTTAATTAATGCCCTCGTCTTCAAAACAATCTCTTGATTTCTACATCTACAGGACGAACAATAAAATCCCACCAAACCATTCATGCACATTTAAAATCATTAATTTATTCCACACAGAAAATTACCACAGCTTCCTCCGTTAATACAAGAGGTTACTATCTCAAGAAAACAGAATGTAAAACACAAAAAGAAATTTACCTATCTAGAGTTGGCGATGGCTAGAGAATGGGCCTCCAGAGAGCAGAGGCCGTCTCGGCCGTCGATCGGCTGGCACTCCTAATCCTCTTCCAAATCGCTCGGCTGCGTCCGCTTCCAGACTGATTCGAAATTTCAACTGATCGGAAAATATGGCGAAAGGAGACAATTGGGGTTCACACCACATTTTAAGAAATTTTCATTTTTATTCAGTGAAACGCACCGTTCAAAGGCAACCAAACCAAAAGAAGAGGATAAAATATGATATGAAGAGATTGATCGGCAAAAATCACAGAAGGATCAAATTACAGTAACAAAATACAAAAGAAATCAACACAAATTCATACATAACCATAATTCCCACACAAGTCAATACAACTATATATCAACAATGAACATGAAAAAGACAGAAACAAACTCAAGAAGCAACTGTTGCCAGATCTCCCCGGAGTAGGAAATCAACAGCACCTGTTTGCACCTACATGAAACAAAGCAAAAGTAGAAAAATAAAGTGTCACTATTATATAATATGCCTTGATTTTTATGGTTAGAATTTTTATAGAACACAAATATTATTGTAACTGCACCAAACCGGAAGTCCTTCTTCAGTCCGTATCTGCACTCTGGATTAACCTGTAAAGCCCCGAGGTGGATCCTCGGGGTAGACACTCCGATGCTTAAGTCAGCAATAATCGGGATTACCTTTGGAACGGAGAAACAAGGAACTTAGGGTTGGTTTCAATTACCTTTTTACGTGGCCCTAAAGGGGTATTTATATGTTCCGATGCAGAATCCACGCGGCATGCCAATTAAGATGTCAAGCAAAATATCCGGGATTTGATATGTATCTCCAAGCAGTTATTTCGGGACCGGGAGATTGAGATATATCTAGATACAAGGATGTCCATCATAACTACCGTGTAGCTGTTCTAGCGGGAAGCTCTGGGCTTATCCTTACA